TGCAGGCATTCAAGACCAGGCTGGATGTGGCTCTGGGCAGCCTGGTCTGCTGGTTGGTGACCCTGCACATAACAGGAGGTTGAAACTAGATGGTCCCTGTGGTCCTTTTCAACCCAGGCCATTCTATGAGTCTACAGAAAGACTGTCTGTTGCAGGACATTGATTCCTTAGGGGGGATCACACCAATCCAGTAATGTGGTAGAACCATTTGAACTAAGAATCTCACTATTTAACAAATGTGTTTCAGAATGGAAATGTATTGTCGGGAATTGACGGAGAGATTTGAGGATGTTTGGGTGGTTTCTGGACCTCTGACCTTGCCTCAAACAAATGACGATGGAAAGAAGAGTGTTACATACCAGGTAGGTACATATGCTGCTGGGTTAGCAGTCATAACACAGTGCATGTGATCCACAAAAAACAGTTTCATAAGCAGTTGCTTGCTGATACCCCATATGCATCACTTCAGACCTCAGCTGTAAAGACCTATCTAGGAATATCAGCATGAATTACAAAACCTCATTCATTTGGGAGTCATTAGGTGAATACAGTATAACTGCTGATCCAGAATATTGGTACCTTCCCATTTTTATTACTTGGTTTGAATACTCTGAAGATTTGCATTTAGTCATGCACGGACTCTAGAAACCATTGCTGACAGACAAGCAGGAGAGGCTATCATGTTGAGAGGTGAATTTACTGTTACTTGTCTTGATTTAGTCTTTATAAGCATGTGTTCACACATCTGAAGGATCTGAGCATAGTAAGGTTTTAAAAGGACCTTACTACACTCTTCTGCCCCTTCTGTAATGACATATTATTGTTGTTTTCAGTTGCTAGATGCTAGCTAGTATAATGCAAATAATAAATACAGTATTTTACACCTCTTGAAGAAACACTTTGTCTTGAAAATAAATATTCAGATTAACCTCAGCTTCAGCTTGCAAGTGATACATCTGTCCAGCCCATTCCCTAAGGAGCAATGAATGAGTTTGCTTCTATGACAGAAAACGAACAGAAAAAAGCAAAAAATAACAACCCTGTTTCAAAAGCATGTGAGAGTTGCAAAAGGGAGAGATGTTGATATTTTAATGCTGGCTTGTTAAGCTCTAAGATTTAGGCACTGTTTCTCCAGAATAAATGTACAGCTGATTTCTGTTTGAGTATGGAATACAGTTGGGAAAGAATCTAATTTCTAATGCTCACTTTTATGTTTGTTTTTTTTTAAATCTATCCCATGTATCACCCACACATGTATAACCTTGACTGCGATGAAATCACAACTTTGTTTTTTGTTTTGTTGCAGTGGTTGTTTTGTTGTTGTTTTTTTTTTTTTTTTGCTGGCTTGCTTGCTTGTTTCTTTCCCAGACAGTCATATGTTATGCACATAAAAGTACAGTGGTGATAATACATCTTTTTCATACCTGGTAGCAGTTCCAAATTTCTGCTCTCGCTGCAACCATGTGAGGAAGGTGACAACTGTGCTCACTGCCAGGTGGATAAATAAGTAGTAGTTAGGAGATATGTCTGATGTCACATAATAAGTTAGTGGCAAAGCTGATTTCGGTCTGGCTTTGGTTCCTTGCCACCTAAAGAAGAGAAGGCTGGTTTTACTACTACCTATGATACTTAGCAGTCCTTGCCATTGTCTGCACACGTTGGTTGTCAGATCCTTCCATAAGATGCTTAATTAACTAGTGCAGTAGAGAACCATCCGTATTCGATTTTTTCCTTTGGATTTTGGCCTTTTTTTTCTACTGCTGTTGAAAGATGCATCAGAGCACAAAGGAGCCGAGTGCATGATGGTAACAGAATGTGGCAAAAGCACACGAGGGAGATGTTCTTTTTCAGCAGTATTGAGCTGAGCATTTGGCTAGGTGTTGCATGGAATGGTACCCTAAGAATTCCCCAGGCTTATGCAGAGCTTGCTGGAATTGTCTCCCTTGAACTTATCAGGGTATTGCATTTATTTTTATCCTTAAAAATGCATATTGTGCTGAAAATCCTGAGCTGACTTGGAAATGTTATAGCTGAAAATGATTTTCCAGGAAGCAATTGAATCATTTATCAACTGCACCTATGTACTGATTCGATTTAATCTCGGTCATCTTCCTCTAATTTTTCTCTGGAGAAAGTGTTTACTTAGGTGACGTTCTCTGAAAAATGATCGTGGCTCTACATTTTGGTTTGGAAATGTAAATGTTAGTGTTCTGCAGGTAGAACTAAGGGCAAGCACTGCATCTTACTGCCTTTATTCAAAGTAACTCGATACTGTGATAGCGGCACAAAATGTCCTTGCTGCTTTGATTATCCTACCGTTCTGTTCTTGTCTTCATCATCTCTGGGTTTGATGACAACTCTGATCTTTTATGAATGTTTTATCAGTTTTGGTTTTAATATAAACCACGAAGTGAAGTTCAGCGTGGAATTGAAGTCGGTGGAACGATCAGATTTGTGTTTTCATTTCACCATTTGGCCACGTTCATAAATCCTTCAGTCATCTCCCTAGAGAGAAATTCATTCCTTAGATTGATTTGTGTTTAACCTGTATTTAAGAACAGACGATGATGTCCACAGGTGGAGTAGTAAAATGTTAGATTTTTGGGGTGGTGATATGTGTATGTGCGGGGTGTTGTTTTAAAGGCTCCAATATTTGAGTTTGACCCTCTTGGACTACACTCCTAAGCATAAATAAATACAGATGAGAATTGTTTTGTTACTTTGAAATCTCTTCATGGCATAACTTCTTTTGTTTGCCATAGGAATTCTCTTTTAGGAAGAGTTCAAAGTGGAAAGGTATGTTTTGTTTTTTTTTTTTTTTCCTCTCTATATCATCACACACTCTAAGAACAGTGAACATAACCTGTCAAAGCACTGGAGAGAAGTTCTTTTCAAACTTATCTCAGGTGTAATTGTCATTGATTTTGGTAGTTTGCCCCAAACCAAGAATCCTTGAGTGTTTCAGCAGAACAGGAAGGGAACATAGCTCTTAGTCATCATTCAGGAGTGAACTGTATTGGGTTCAAACAAAGGACTTCGAAAAGGAAGGCTTTTAGTCCTCGTTCTTTCAGCTTATGAAGCTGATGTGGGAAGGTGTCCTTTTTCTTTGTATGTGCTGTTTAAGGAAGGTGCTGTGGTGTACATGAAAGTACTGAAATTCACGACATATAATCTGTTGACATAACTTAAGGCTGAGCTCCTTTCTGATGTTTTGCTCCTCCTTCAGGACCAGACCTGTGGAAAAAAGAAAACTACAGTGAATGTGTTTGCATTGATTTGTTTCAGATCCTCTGTTCAATCGTAGTTTCCTTTTTTTTTGGCTAAAGAAGTGAGGAAATATGTATCCGTGGCTTTACAGGCTGGTGTTTTTCTCATCAGACATCCAAAAAAGTTATTTTTAGATCACTATAGAGGAAAAACAGAGCATCGGTCATGGCACTGTTCCCAGTTCCTGCTTGGACTCTGGTACCATTTGCTGTTTAATTCCAGAAAGGGAATTAACCTTGAACTCCTTAGATGCCAACGCTGTTCTATCTATTGGCTGAACTTGCTGTATCCTCAGATATGTTCTGTCATTTCATCTGTCATTTCATCTGTCTCCAGCAGTGGCTTTTATTGCATAGAGTAGATTGATGACCGTGCTTGGTATCTGAAAAATACATTTTTGAGAATATATGTAAAATAGAATGCCAACAGGAAAAAATCTGTTCTGTGTCATTGGAGAGGCAGATGCAGGTTTTTTTGTCTTTGTCCAGATCAAAATCAAAACGACAGCGTCTCATTTTATGCATCATTCTTCCCCAGTGACTGTCACTTCAGTGATTTTTCTCTGTCAGCAGATTTGGAGTTTGAAATACACATTTTGCAGTAATTCTACTGGGTCGTGCTCAACTCCTTACCCTCTTCTCCCCCTGTGCCGTCATAGTAAAGAGTAAGAAAGGTTTTGCAGTGCTTGATGAGGGAAAGTACCGTTTATACATTTATGTTTATTGTTTGAAGAAGACATTTTCTTCTACTTTTTAGAGATATCCTGAGCTCATGTTAATTTTCAAAATGGAATAACTGCTTTCCTAGGCCGGGCAGGGGTTGCACAGCAGCTGTATTAGAATGTATGTGTACTTGTCACCTGTTGCTGTAGCAAATAAGTCCCTTGGAAACACAGTGCTCCTCTCAAATAGAAGATGGTACTTCATGGTTTTCCCTAGTCAAGAAGTAGCAGAGGTTCTCTCCTAGCTGACATGACATGAGAGAAGCAATTTTTGTTAAAGCTGGAAATAAGCCTGGGGACTGTTGGTATTTGATGGCTGATCCAAATGGACTCAGGGCTTTGCGGGCCCCTTATGGATGTAGGCCTGGTACACCCATCCCATAGAACTTGAATTCAAAGATCCAGTTCTTAGATCAGCTGGTGTCAGTGACTAGAGCTCTGTCAGCCCTAAATTTAGACATGATGTACAAGTGAAAATAATAGACACCGGGTTAAGATGGGAGGAGCAGAGACACCAAAGGTGCAGGGTAGATTTATTGGGTTGCTTTTATTTAGCACTGTTCCCCTCCTGAAGGTTCTTTGGTTATAGGAAGAGCGTGGTGATAGGGGCTGTAGTGGGCTGGGTATTAATTCGTGTTAAGTATAACCTAAATGGATTGTGTGGGAGCAGTAGTCTGTAAATCATGTAAATATGGCATTAGAATGCCTATGTACACACACTATTTAAAAAAGAAAAAAGTGGAGATGGCTTTTAATGCTGTTATTAGGCACAGCTTTTCTTTTCCTTACAATCTCTTGTCTTTTTTTTTTTTCCTTCCTTTTTGAGATTGCTGTGAGTGATTTGGCAGTGGCAGTCAGAGCAGCCATAACAAGTTTTCCTGAAATGCACACATTTGGGGAGCTTGGCCATGAATTTCTGTAGCAGTTTGTTAATGGTTTTTTTTTTGTTTGTTTGTTTTTAATCTGTGTTTTCTGTATTACTGGGACTGCTTTCATACCTCTCAATTCTTTTCAGTGCTATCTGATGAAGTTCCATCATATATTGAGCAAAAGAACACTATCAACAGAATCAGTGCTGCCTAACACAAATCCAGAATGAATCAGAGTGAAGGCAGTTAATGCTGCAGCAACAATCAACTAAGCAGAATTACATTGATAGCAAAGAGATTCTTTTTTATATTGCCTGACAGCCAATCTGTCTCCATACAGAATTTAATAGCAATTTTTAGTAAAGCTCCTGTTTGTCAAAACTGAGGTGGTATCAGCAGCAATGATACTTCATCTACAATAAAACACGTGATGGGCCTGGTCAGTATCATGCCATAAGTTACAGCTGAAACAAAGCAAATCTTTATTCAGAGCGAGCTGCAGCTT